GGTCTGCGCTGCCGGCGTGGTGCTGCTTTGCGGTCGCGTGGCGATCACGGCCGCATTGCCGCCGACGAAGACCTGCCGCACCTTGCGGTCGGTGGCGCTGCCGTTGGACTCGATCATGCTTGCCACCGGGTAGGCGGCGCCATTCTTGAAGCGGGGGCCGGCGTAACCCTCAAAGCGGTCGTAGCCGATGCTGATCGAAGCCGGCGTGGTGTCGACATCAGCGATGGACGTCGACGTCTTGGTGACGAAGACCGCCGCGTCGCGCGGTGTCGAGCATCCCACCAGTCCGAGCACGATGACCAGCACCGGCAGGGCGATGGCGCTATTTCCTGGCTGCTGCATGACGCTCTCCTTCCTGTGGCGCACCCGGTTGGCGCAGCTCGTCGGCCTTCACCAGCGCGTGGTTCTTCAGGTGAGCCAGCGTCGTGTCCTGGTAGCCGATCGTGAGCGACGACTCGATGTCCGCCCGGGTCAGCGCAACCCCGAGTGTTCGCGTGCGGATCGCCTGGCCGGCCGTCTGCGACGGGGGGCTGACGGTGATCCACGCCAGCCCGATGACGTTGGTGCGGCCTTGCTCATCGACATAGACATGGGCGCATCCGCCGCCACCGGCGGCGATGCCCAGCGCCAGCCAGCGCACGATGCGCGATGGGCGCCGGCTCGCCGGTTTCAAACTGAGTCTGGAGGTCGACTGACGCATCGGGACTCCCCTTTGGGAAAAGTCTCGCCGCGCTTCGCCGGCACTACATCCACAACTCAGTGAAGGGTCTGAGACGTTGCGGCGTGCCGACACCGCAATGCCGCGGTGGGGGGAGGCGGGCCCGATGAAGGCAGCCGCAGGTCTATCGAAGGAAGGGCCGCAGCCAGCGCATCTGTGGCTTCTCTCGCCCGTCGGCTGCAGGTTCGAGCGACAGGAAGTAGTCGCCCCAGGTCGGGCCGCCGGCCCACCAGAGCCAGCCGGTCCAGACGTCGGCGTTGGCCTGCAGGTGCCGCAGCGCGCCGGTCACGGCCTGCTCGCAGACGGCATTGGCCCCGCCGCCGAGTTCGC